GTATTTTAGTTTGCAAATTTAAATTATATATACCAAAAAAAACTTTATATTTGTGCATTTTAGGATTCAAATAGATTAAAGTGTAATTAAAGGTTGATGGATTAGGCTAGTGATATTTTTAATGAGAAAATCTCGCTTTATACCAATTAAGTCTAAACTATTTATCTTTTAATACTTAAGATCAAAGAATTTATTTTTCCTACCTGTATGGCCTAAACTATTTACCCGCCTACCCAACCCCCTTTCCTTTTTTATTTTCTCTAAACAAGCAGAGTCTCACTCCGCAGATGTTCCTTTCCCCTTTCAAAAAACATCCATAGCTTAGTCTTTTTAGTGGATGGTGAAAATCCAATACAGACCCATGCATTTACCCTTTTTTTTTATTTATAATTTTCCATATAAATTTTAAAAGATAAGTTTTTCATATTATTTTACATGCGTTTCACTCCAAAATCCTCTTTCTATATTAGTATATTCTTTTTGTGTATTTATTTGTATTTCTGAACCCATGTGTTATTGTGGTTATATACTAAGCTTCCCAGATCTGAATTTTGTGTGTATTTGAATTTTTACCAATGTTGGGCTTGAAACTCTTGAATTTAAAATTTTTATTTTGACGATTTCTTGTTTGATTCAAAGTGGGTATTATTAAATACTGCTTATAGTACGTTCTGGAACTTCATACTGAAATTTGATCTCATTTGGAGCTGATTTGAGGTGATTGAGATTGTATTTTTCCGTTGAAAATCGAAGAAGAACAGAGTTACCCGATAGTATACCGCGATGGTATACAATATACTATAGGACTATATAGTTATACTACAACGGTATACTGTAATAATCGAAGAAGAACACAGTTACACAATAATATACTGCTATAATGTATAATATACTGTAAAAGTATATAGATATACTGCAACAGTATACTGTTATAGTATACAATATATTATAATGTTATACTGTAATAATATGCAATATACTGCAACAGTATGTTGTAATAGTATACAATATACTATAATAGTATACATTGACTGCTATTTGTTGAATCATCTAGGTGCTATTGTGTAAAGCTAAAGTCATGGTTATAACATTATATTGTTATAGTATACAATATAATAAAATAGTATACCGTGACAAATAAGTCATTTTTTTTTTTTTTTAGTTTTTTCAACTATGTCTTTGCAAATGTTTTCTTAAATGATTTTTTTGATGAGTTTCATGAAAATAATATTCATTGTATAAGAAGTAGGTGTCGGAAGACATAACATAGTAATATATCTATTTGGTATATTTATATGTAGTTTTGGTATACTATTGTGACAAGTATTTTATAATAACATTAAATATTAATATGCCATTTTATTATACTAATACACCATTTTATTATAATAATATATAATTTTGGATCCTATGTGTTAGAAATATTTACAGTAATACATATATTTGAAAAAAGGAAAAAAAAAAAGATAAATAAGATATACTACATAGGTTATTTTTTTGATAATTGATATGGAGAAAAAGAAAAATATGAAACAAAGAAGGGAAAAA